GTAGAACGCACCTAGTCCGAAGTCGTCTGCCATAGTAGTTGTCATGATTCCCGGCATCTGACAGTGGACTCGGTACATTCTCAAACGTTTCACCGGCATCGTAGTCGGCATCAGCAGTGAGTTTTGCCATTCTCCACAATAAGCTACGAACTCGTCAAAGAGACAAGTTAAGACATTCACTTGACAAACGTTCTGCCGAAAACGGTTACACTATCACTCCTCTTTCTGTCCTGGCTTATCTATCTACTCTTTACCCTCTTCTCCCACTGCCGCCCTATCACAACTTCACACTTGTTTACATTCCAAGTCGGGATAGGACAGCATTGGGATAAGAGTGTAAAGAGTAGATAGATAGACAATGACAGAAAGAGGAGTGATAGTGTAACCGTTTTCAGCATAACGCTTGTCGAGGGATTGACTTCCCTTGTCTCTTTGACGAGTTCGTAGCTTGGTGCTGCGAATGGCAAAACTTGCTGATAATGCCGGCGAAACGTTTGAGAATGTACTGAGTCCACTGTCAGATGCCGGGAATCATGACAACTACTATGGCGGACGACTTCGGACCAGGTGCATTCTACATAGTCGCCCTGACAACAAGACCAAGTTGTGACAACAAGACCAAGTTGTGACATCAAGGTCAAACCACTTCCAGAAATGCATACTTTTCTAGCACAGATTCATCGGGATATCACGACGGCGAGCCAAAGATTTCTTCATTTCGCGGCGATCCTCTTTAAGTTTTCAGAAAGATCATTTCATGAATTTTATTCAACCAACTTTTTCTTCGAAAAGGAATTTCATGCCGCCACCACTCGTTTAGCCTGCACGACATTTCTATTACAAAAATGGATTGGAGAGGTTCTTTAACCCCTGAAAGTCGTGTGTGCCTGTGATTCATTTGCTCTGAGGCTGTGTATATAAGTGCAATGCACTGCTTCTAGCCATATTTAACTTGGTGGAGAAAAGACCCAAGCAAGATAAAAAATGAAGCCTTGTTTGTAATCAAGAAGCCGTTACATCTGAAAGTTGTCCCTGCAAATTTTAACATAGCCAGTTTGGCTATCAAACCTTGTGCCATATGAGAGAACTGTAATGACCATTTCGCCAATATAGATTAAAATACAGTTTCTATAGCTACTAAACTAGTCAAGAGATGTAAAGGATAAGCAGGAAATAGGAATTACAACTTGGTAGAATAATTGAGATTTGGTAGGTCTCATTATGTAATTAGGTGGATTGGTTGATATACAATCAGGTACACGAGACAACAGGCTTAAGATCAACAAAATTAGTTATCAACATGCAATAAAAACGGGGAAAATGATACGAAACTGGGTGTTAGCGGAGGCCAATTTCTTTGAGCAAGAAGATATCAAAGATTTGACATCTTTAACTCTCAAGCGCACTGATCAAGTGCTTAAGTAAGCAAGGTTTTAAAAATTAATCAGCCTCTAGAAGTCGGTTTTAATAGTGAATTGAAACGTTGACAGAGTTTCCACGAGGAAGAAGGCTAAAAATATGAAAGTGGATGATCAACTCACCAATTGGGAGGGTGCGGAACTCAATAAAAGCGGCAAGTCGGTTCGTGTCTACGCTCATACTTCCACCGCTCAGAGAGTGCGGTGGCTTCGGGGCTCCAGAGGCTCTGGGTTGATGTGATCCTCCAGCAGAAGTGAGTTGTCTTTCAGCTTGGACGCAAACATGATGAAGAGTGTCGGGAGGGAGCTCTTGAGGAGGAGAAAGATAATGTTACGAAAATGTTGATTAAATCAGTTTGAAAGTCTATAATAAGCATCTTACATGCTGCAATATATTAAAAAACCCGATCATTGTAGCCTTGAAACGTAGTATATGGATTGTCACATCGAGTAAATTCCTTTTCCATCAGCCAACAAAATTGCCCACAATAATTTTCTCTTCGTTAGCATCCAAGACTGACTTGATTCGTTTGGGCGATTCATATTTAAGTCATTGAAAATGACAGGTGAAAACTTCAACTATAAGAGAAGTAAATATGCTACAAGGTATTGAAAGGACTAATTCTTCTTAGATTCATTTCTCCTTTCAAGGGCATTGGAATTAAATGCTGTAGTTCCTATGTCCTTCAATTAATCCCGTCCAGGAAAAGTGAACAAGACTTCAAAATATGAATTGTGGGATCTAGTGCAAATCGACCGCCAGATAAAGGGAAAATGGCAACGAAGGAGTCTACCATAAAAGGTGCAGCCGCAAATATCAACCAAATATACTAAACTGCCGTGAGTG